AGATCCAGAGTAAGTAATGAAAATGAGAGTGAAAATGGTTCTGAGATGATGGATGATGTTTTTATTGAGACAGGAATACATAAGAAACTCAAGAGGTGTCGAGCTATTCGCTTGTAGATGGATTCCATCATCGTCTTCTCCCAAAGCTCTGGTTTTCCTCTGCCATGGTAATTTAATTTTTATCTTCTGGTAATTTCTACTAAAGCTTTAATTACAGAAACCAAGAAAAAAAGACCAATAAATATATCATGGAGATTTGTGCAGGTTACGCAATGGAGTGTAGCGACTCCATGAAAGGTAGTATTATTTAATTTTACCTTCTAATTTATGATAGCAACCATCCCATGCATCATCATTAGATCATAGCCTGAAAAATATCTATCAAAATATTGAATTTATTTTATCACAGAGCATTGACTTGTGTATACATGACACATTACACATGGCATTTAATGTTTTTTTACATCTCTGTATCAAGTTAAGGCGTTATAAAATAGTTGAAGAAGAAAACATGTAACTAAATGATTTGATACCGTGTAATCTACTAATCTTTACTTTAATATCATTTGAGGTTGATTTTTCTTAGTGGAATTTGAGATATTTAGCTTATTATATCAATCATGATAGGACATTTACGTTTAGTTTCTCACTTGTGGACCTTAGAACCATTTAAAGGGTTATGTGTAGTAATAATACTTCTTAAATGCCTCTGAAAAGTAAGTCATAGAGGAAGGTGTTAGGACCGGTAGGTCAACTAGTCTTATGTGGTTGGTTTGGGTTGGAGAACGACCCTAGACCATTTACGTTTTCTAATTTGCATATTTTTTTTTTTTGGGGTCTAATTCTTCGGCTAGAGAGTAAATTGACCTCTATCACATTAATTACCATTCTTCTTAAAATCGCTTAATTATTTACCTTAGTCATTTCATCAACTAAACCGAGATTGACCCGATATATCTAATATAATATTTTAAGGTTTTTTCTAAGTAAAACTTTGAGAGGCTGCCAAGTGTCATCTAATTTTTTGACATTTGTCTTTTTTAATTTATTTATTGAAAAGAAAATAAAAATTAAATGTCTTTTAATAATTTTAGCAATTAATTCTAACAATTGAATAGCTAATTCTTATGTAAATTCTAACAAATTACAATTAAGTGTTTTATGTTCATTTATGTAATTCTTATGTAAATTACAATATAATTTTATTTACAGAAAATAGATATTTTATTTATCAAATCCAACAATCTTATATAATATAATTTTTACGTAAATTTATGCAGAGAATGATTTTAGGATTTTTAGGGCTGTTAAATCCAACAAGTCTGATTGGAGAAATTTAGAATTTAAACGTTTTTTAAAATTATTTCATAGCTTTCAAAGCCAATTTATCAATCACCCTCTAATGCAATTGAAACAATTTGTATTGGATAAAGTAACATTTCTAACCAAGAGTTTTGAAAGAAAACTTTACTTCACCACAAATTGTAAATTCAGAAAAACAAAATCACTTAACCAATGAATTGATGTGAAAGATAAAAATCATAGCAAAACGTTAAATAAAGTGAGACAAAAATACAATCAAACATCAATTATCTCTCTTTATTATTCAAGGTTCTAATGAAATAAATAAAAAGATGCATTCCAACATGAGATGATGTAGATATCTCGGCAGAAGCAAAGCATATTACAATTTGTCTGATTAATAGATTTTTACAGATGTATTTGATGTAGAAAAGACGACCAAATATTTTTTTAGGAGACTATAGTGAATATTGATTAAGATATNCAAGTTAAATATTTGTGCCAAAGAAAATGTCTTCCATGTGTTGTAAATTTTATTAATGAACGGTTTATTTCTTTTCATATATAACATTGTATATGTCCAACAATTTGTCACAAATGCTTAATCTACTAACTTAGATAATTATTTACTATAAACACCAAATTTATATAATATTTTTTTTGGTCAAAAAATTTATATAATATTAAATACACAAATAATCAATAACTAGAAAATATTAATGTCAATTTTTACCTTATTAATTTTTAAACTCCACGCAACGCGTGGACAATCCCTAGTATTTATATATGTTTCGGTTTTAGATTGCGGAATTAGGCTAGCTTCAGCCGGATACGCGGTTTTTGGTATGGACTATGAAGGTCATGGTCGGTCCATGGGATCTCGTTGTTACATCAAGAAGTTTGGCAACATTGTAAATGATTGCTACGACTACTACACCTCTATTTGTGGTATAACATTTACATAACAACAACATTCCTCTTCTTTCGTTCTTTTCTTGAAGTAGTCTCTTCTCTTCTTCTCCATTTATCAATAAGAATAGGATTTTCTCAACCCCAAAGTTTTTTAATTTTATGCGACGCCAGCGAAAGAGGAGTACATGGAGAAAGGTAGATTCTTGTATGGAGAATCAATGGGAGGTGCAGTCACTTTATTGCTTCACAAGAAAGATCCTTCCTTTTGGAACGGTGCCATTCTTGTCGCTCCAATGTGCAAGGTAAAAGTAAAAAAACCGCAATCGAAATGTCTTGGGATATAGATTATGAAACGAAGTTATGTATAATGTATGAATGTAGATATCTGAGAAAGTGAAGCCACATCCAGTGGTGATCAATCTGCTAACCAGAGTCGAAGAAATCATACCGAAATGGAAAATAGTTCCAACAAAAGATGTGATCGATGCTGCTTTCAAGGACCTTGTCAAGCGAGAAGAGGTTTCAATAGAGTGATTATGGAGTATATACTAATCTCTCACCATGTAAATTTGTTATGTTATAACTAGCTTGTTGGTGAATGCAGGTAAGAAACAACAAGCTGATATATCAAGACAAGCCTAGGCTCAAAACCGCACTTGAAATGCTCAGGACAAGCATGAACCTCGAAGACAGTCTCGACGAGGTTTTGACTTTAGACTAAATTTGTTGAGTTTCATGAGTTTTCAAAGTAAATTAGTGGATTAGTTCATGTCTTTAACCATGGGATTTGGTTATTTGCAGATAACAATGCCGTTCTTTGTGTTACACGGAGAAGCAGATACAGTGACGGATCCAGAGATAAGCAAAGCTTTGTACGAGAAAGCTAGCACAAGGGACAAGACTCTCAAGCTGTACCCTGGGATGTGGCATGCTCTGACGTCAGGTGAACCTGACTATAACGTTGACATTGTCTTCGCTGACATCATCGCTTGGCTTGACCTCCGAACCGCTGACTCAGCTTCTATCACTGTCACTCCTGTCCGAGTTACTACCACTCCTAGTGTCCAGAGGGTTATGGTTAACGGCGTTGCTAACGGTCAACGCAGACCTAAGCGTCAGTTCTTCAATCTCCTTTGTGGTTTGAACGGTGGCCGTTTGGTTCCACGATCTGCTATGTAATCATTTTATAAACAGAGGAGAATTTGTTTCTCTGTCTGAGTTATTACGACTTTGTACGTGGATTAAGGTCGGTCACATGGTTATGATATGATCAGTATGGAGACCAACAATTACTCAGAAGGCTGGACAATTTATGGATTTAACTAGAATAAGCTGTTCTACTTTGTAGAAGAATCACTCATCATAACTTTCTATCATAGTTTGAATGTCAAGTTTCAGTGGTTGAGAGACCAATAAAGCAGGAAGAACACAAAAACTGAAAAACTGTCTGAAGAAAGTGAAAACATCATCCATGGAGAAGAAGAGTTTAAACTAAAAAGGGTACTTGAAGAAAAAGCTAAACAAAAAGGCTCTATCAATCCGAGCAGATTACTTTTGATTAAACACAAACAAAAAGATCCTTCTTAGGTCATTCTCTGGGCAGCCTCCTTTGCAAGAACTCTTTCCTTGGCCTTTGTCTTAGCCTGAGATTTGGATCCCATGATACCTCCTCCCCATTTCTTCCTGTACTCGTCGAACTTGTCGTTGAAGTTAGCCTATACACCAGAAACAGAATNAAGTTAGAGAATCNTCCTGCAATACACCCACTCTATTGTCAAAGAAAAGAGTATTTTATTACCTTGATGGCCTCAAGGATTTTGCTGAACTCTGGCTTGTCCTCGTTCTTNATAGTGGTCAAACACAAGCAAGCAGCAGTCTTTTGGTGAACAATCTGGAATGTAAGAAACAGAAGTATTATCACTGATTTCACTAGAGAGAGGGCCGTGATCAAAACGTAAGAGACTGAGATGGACATATAGTGCATACCGCTCCAAGACGAGATTTCCCCTTGACAATGCAATAAGGCACTTCCATCTTCCTACACAGAGCAGGCAACCAGACAACCAACTCGATTGGGTCGACATCATGAGCGATGACAACAAGTTGTGCCTTGTTCTGCTCGATGAGGTAAGTCACATGGTTGAGGCCATACTTCACAACAATAGGCTTCTTAGATTCAGAGGGCTTTCCCTCAGCCTCAGCTTGAGCCTTCTTGACAAGACGCTCCTTCTTGGCAGGTTTGTCCTCTGGCCTATACTTGAGAAGGATCTTGAAGAGGTTGGTTGCTGCAGTTATTAAGACATGATACGATTAGGCACTGAATTAAGGAAGCAATTCGACAATGGCAATGGAAACAACTACAAAACAAACCAATCATTAGAAGAAGGCAATGTAAGACTGACCAAGGTTCTTGTCAAGAGTCTTGGTGAACTGGTTCAGAGCTGGAGGGACCTTCAACCTCTGCTTAAGGATCCTCTTCTGCCTTTGAAGACGGATTGCCTTTGGCCATTTGATGTAACGTGTAAGGTCCTTCTTTGGAGGCAAAGCTCCCCCAATACCAAATTGCTTCGGCCTCCTCTCGAATAGTGGGTTCGTTACTTTCTCCTGCAAAATCAGAACACAAACTTGANAACAAACAGAGGATGAAGAGAAGAAGACCAGAAGTTGGCAAATCAAANCAAAGATCATACCGCAGTCTTCTTCTTGGCAGCTAACTTCACTCCTTTCTTCGGGGCCTATAACCAAATTGCAGAGTAATTAAGTGACCAGGTGAAACGAGATGAGTAAGCCATTGCTCTCTACGCAAGTTTCTGGATTCATTCAATAGCTCTCTTCTACCAAAAAATGACAAACCCTAAATCCTAAGCAGATCAATAATGCTCATATGCGTCTCTATCGCTAATTCAAAATGCATCCAGAAGAAGGGAAACATTGACTCATGCCACATGAAAACAAACGACTAATAGATCCGAATCAAACGAAATCAAGGGAACCACAAAAATGAAAAGAGCGAAGAAGAGAGATATACCATTGTCGTCTTCCTGAGCTCAAACTCCAAATGGTTTCTGCAAAAAGGACGGCTGAGTCGAAGAGTATCTTTAGGGTTTTGCCTCATATATACTCCAATTTTTATAGGGCTTCTTTCTTTTGTGGGTATTTTAACGAAAATTGCAAGCCCAACTCTGTTTGTTTGTAAATTACAAATTATACTACCTTACTACTAGTGTTATATTTAATTTAATTTTTTTTGTTAACAATTATTTGG